CATCCCAAGGGGTGTCTTAACTGTTGTGCGAAAGGCCTGCCCCACTTCTCAGTTTTAATATCCCTCAAGATGAGTACCGTTCCCTCCACTGTGGTCTAAGTTCAACTGAGAGAATTGCTTGTGAGAAGGATTCAGAGAAGTAGCCGATGGCTTTCCTTTTGAGTGTTGTGTCATGTGTTTGGGGAAGAAAAGAGGAGTAGAAATGCTTGTTGTGGTTTATTCAGAACCCGTACGTAGTTTCCCACAGTCTGAGGCATTTGGGGTGATAGGACTGAATGATTACCTCCAACATTCTCTGTCTCTAACTTTCCTAGCTGAGGTCTCTGTACAAGTGTGCTTCAGGGCCCTGTTTACCCCAGCGTCCAGCAAGCTCTTTCCATTGTGGCCTCAGGGGGAGTTAGTAAAGGTATCTTGCAAGCTGTATCAAGCCCAGTGCACTGATTGCGGGAAATTCTGAGTGAAGAGCACTAGACTTTCAAAGGTAATACCCAGCAGCCAGAGGCTTCCAGAAGAAGCCCTGAGGGAGCGGTCAGAGGTCTGCCTGCATTCCCTGGAGGAAACCAGATGGCCAGCTTAGGGTCTTGGCTTGAGGCCTGCTCAGGATTAGGGGCTATCCTATTCAATAAACAGGGAGACTGGTGCCTATAGACTGAAGGGACCATTAGACCCACCAGATAGGCAGCAAGCAATGGTAGGCTAAAGACAGACATTGGAGACACATAGACATGGGTTCAAAGGTCAGCTCTGGCTGGCGTTGTGGCACAGTGGGTAAAGCCGCTGCCTGCAATGCCAGCATGTCATCTGAGCCCTAGTGTGAGTCCTAGCTGCTCCACTTTCAATCCACCTCCTTGCTAATGGCCTGCAAAAGGCAGTAGGAGATGACCCAAGTGTTTGGGCTCCTGTCACCCATGTGGGAGACTCAGATGAAGCTCCTGGCTCCTGGCTTCAAACTAGCCTGGCCCAGCCTGACTATTGCAGCATTTGGGGAGTGAAACAGCAAATGGAAGATCTCTCTGTGCCTCTTCCTTTCTCTGTGTGTAACTGACTTTTAAGCAAACAGATAAATCTTAAAAAAAAAGAGAGAGAGGCCAGCTCTGCTTCTACTCTGCTATGTTGCCTGGGCAGTTTATTGCGCTTTCTCTAAACTCCTGTTTGCTCAACTGTAAAACGGGGATAATAACACCTACCCTGAGAATTGTAAAAGTTGGAGAGGATAGATGGATAACTTCTGGCCCAGTTGGTACTATGTAAACTGCAGATTTAAAAAAAAGTGGTGGGTAGACATTGTCACACAGTCACTTAAGCTGCCACTTAGGATGCCTGCATCCTTTATCCCGTATCTCCCACAGGAGTGGCAGGGGCCCAAGTACTGCAAATCATTTGCTGACCGATTTAAGTCCAGTTACTGTATGTTTCTCATGCAGTTTCCTGCTAATGTCCCTGGGAGGCAGAAGATGATACAATAATTACCTGAGCCCCTGCCACCCACATGGGAGACCAGAATAGAGTTCCAGGTTTCTGGCTTTAGCCTGGCCTGGTCCCAGCTGTTGCATACACTTGGGTAGCGAACCAGCAAATGGAAGACCTCTCTCACTCCCACTAGCTCTCCATCTCCCTGTACCTTTCCCTCTCTCTCTACCTTTCAAATAAATAAGTAATCAAATAAATAAATAAGTGCTTTTTTTTTTAAAAAAAAAAGTACTGCCTCCACATTTACCACATCACTTTGTATTTTATAACATCTTTGCTTTATTTCTATAGCTCCAAGTGTCTGAATATATCATGTGATTTTTTTATTGGGGAATAATATGTCTCAGTGAAATGCAAAGATTCTAAGTGTACAATCTGATGCATTTTGACAAAAATGTATATCCATGTAGTAACCATCATCATCATCAAAATTTAGGACATTTCTGACATCCCCTAGGTGCTCCCTTATGCCCCTTCTTAGTCAGTCTTCATCCCCAGGCAAGCACATTTCTAATTTTTTAAAAGATTTATTTATTTTTATTTGAAAGTCAGAGTTACACAGAGAGAGGAGAAGCAGACAGAGAGAAGTCTTCCATCTGCTGGTTCACTCCCCAATTGGTGCAATGGCCAGAACTACACCAATCCGAAGCCAGGAGCCAGGAGCTTCTTCCAAGTTTCCCAGGCGGGTGCAGGGGCCCAAGGACTTGGGCCATCCTCTACTGCTTTCCCAGGCCATAGCAGGGAGCTGGACCGGAAGTGGGGCAGCCGGGACTCAAATTGGCATCCATATGGGATGCTGGCACTGCAGGCAGCTGCTAGGCCACAGCGTGGGCCCCTGTTCTAACTTTCATCACCATAATGTATTTGCGCTTGATCCAGGTATGTGAAATCCTATAATATGGGGCTTTTGTAGATACTTAAATAGGGTTTTTGAGGTTCATCCACGCAGTTGTGGATTCATAATTTATTTCTTTTTATTGCTGAAGGTCATTCCATTGTATAAATATATCACAGCTAGTTTTTAATTGCCATGGTATAGACACTAGGCCACATTCAGTTTTTTTTTTTTTTTTCTGGCTACTATAAATAAAGCTGCTATGAACATTCATATACAAGTCTTTGTGTGGATATAGTTTTCATTTCTCTTGGCTGTATGTTCCTACAAGTGAGATTACTAAGTCATATGGTAAGAACATGTTTTTTTAAAGACTAATTTTTTATTTATTTGAAAGACAGAGTTACAGAGAGAGGTAGAGACAGAGAGAGGTCTTCCATCCGCTGGTTCATTCCCCAGATGGCTGCAACGGCCGGAGCTGTGCCGATCCGAAGCCATGAGCCAGCTTTCTCCGGGTCTCCCATGTGAGTGTAGGGGTCCAAGGACTTGGGCCACCCTCCACTGCTTTCCCAGGCCATAGCAGAGAGCTGGATCGGAAGAGGAGCATCAGGGACTAGAACCAGCGTCCATATGGGAGGCTGGTGCTGCAGGCCAGGGCTTTAACCCTCTGCACCACAGCACTGGCTCCAGAACATGTTTAACTTTTTTTTTGACAGGCAGAGTGGACAGTGAGAGAGAGAGACAGAGAGAAAGGTCTTCCTTTGCCATTGGTTCACCCTCCAATGGCGGCCGCGGCCGCGCCAGCGCGTTGCGTCCAGCGCACCGTGCTGATCCGAAGCCAGGAGCCAGGTGCTTCTCCTGGTCTCCCATGCGGGTGTAGGGCCCAAGCACTTGGGCCATCCTCCACTGCACTCCCGGGCCACAGCAGAGAGCTGGCCTGGAAGAGGGGCAACCGGGACAGAATCTGGCACCCCGACCGGGACTAGAACCCTGTGTGCCGGTGCCGCAAGGCGGAGGATTAGCCTGTTGAGCCACGGCGCCAGCCCAGAACATGTTTAACTTTGTAAGAAACTACCTGTTTTCCCAAGTGACTATTCACATGAATGCAATGTATTTGTGCTTTTAGGAAGTTCCTGGTTAAGCTTAGCATGGCTGTCAATCAGGGGAAACGGAATGACAGTGCTCAAACACTTCTCTAGACAGCACAATCTAGTTACATCTGGATCTAGAATAATTCTGAAAGGAAAACTTCTGAGAAGGGGTCCCTTGCTCACTGTCTGTTGTTGCTTCCCATTGTCCTCAATATCATCTGTTGACACTTTTAGTAGAATCATAGATAACTAGGCTACTACATAATTTATGTGCTCCAGTGCCCTTTTTACCTAAGAGGAATATGGGGCCCATTAAGGCCATATAATGTAATTCCCCCCAAAGTTACATAGACAAGGGAAACCCAAGATCTTCTGAACCCTTGTCTGGTATGATTTCTTTGCATTGTGCTTTCTTTGCATGAAATGGCATTCAGTCATTCAGCCATCATTTAATGATCATGTGCTTTGTGCTATATGTTAAGAATAAAGCATCACTGATCTCATAGACTAGAAAGATAGTTTGTTAAACTCTGATTATTTTCATCCTATTCAGAAAAATAAATAGATTAAATCCATGTTTAGCCAGAGCACATGGCAATTCAAATTGGGTTGTCAAAGGTAAAAAGATATGGACAGGCTACTTCCCTGCTTAGGGAAGGCCACAGTATGTCTTAAGTGTCCTATATGTGCTAAGTGCTGTTCTGGATGCAAACCAATCGCCTCTGATCTCAAGGAACTCACATGATGGGATGTGAAGCCAGTGATGGAGCCCGGGGTTTAAAGCAATTCAGCACATAGCTATTGAACATCTGCTCTATCCTAGGCACTGTTCTAAGTTCAAAGGATATATTGATGAACAGAGCTGACAATATTACAATTTTCCAGGGGCTTTCCACCAATGGCGCCCATATATATTAGCATAGAAATGTTTGCTGGAGATCTACATGTGGTTCAGACTATGTCTGGACACCTTAGAGCTGGTGTTGTTTGTAATTGCTAGTTTCTACAAATGAGTGTTGGTAGTTGCAGGACACCATCTTACATAGCTTAGGAAATTAGGAGGAGTAAGAGAATCGGATGTGTTTTATTCTCTTGCATGGAACTAGTCAAGACAGAAAGCAATGCTGACCATGTAAGCTGAAATTGCCGATCTCCCACTGGATTGCTTAGCCAAGCTCTCCAGGGAATCTGGTGTCTACAGATAACTCTGGCCTGACCTTGGCTCATTCAATTGGAAGGGAGGCACCTCCTCAGAAGGCAAATATGTAACTATTTTGTCTCAATGTCCTTCTACTCCACTCCCCATTTCCTGATGCTTTTTCCATCATGTTGCCTGATGATTCTTCTCATTTGTAAGGGAAGCCCCTTTAAACATTTTATGGAGCTTTGTTTTGATGTTTCCTGAACACTGATTAGATAAGATCAGTCCTCAGACCAGCATAGCATTGTTGTTGACCTTCAAAAACTCAAAGACTCATTGAGGCCCCAATGATAGCCTGTATTGGTAGGAGAAAACTGCTTGTCCCCAAAGATGCTGCTCATCCAAACGAAAGTCAAGCCACTTGATAACATAGTGCCAATGATACTTTGCATTTGGTCCACAGCTGTCAACTTTGTTGCTCACCCACAATGGAAGAAATGAAGAAGACTGATGTCCAGCAGGACAGAAGTAGGCAGAGGCCTATAAAGACGGAGTGGAATTCCCGGTGTGTTCTTTTCACGTATTTCCAAGGAGACATTGGCAGTGTAGTGGATGAGCACTTCTCCAGAGCTCTGGGAAATATCAAGAGTCCCCAGAGATTGAGTCCATCAAGCCCGAATGAAGATGTGATCCTAAGGAATGGTGAGCATGTTAAGAGGGAGGAGGCTGAAATTCCCTGTGAAAACTATCACTGAAAGACCAGGTCTTTGATGTACTTGATGTGCTTGGATATGTGTGTATTTGCTAAAGCCAAGTCCCCTTGTCCAGTGAGAAGTCACAGCTCTTCTTAGAAGTTCAATATAAAATGGACACTGTTTAATCAACTTAGTTCACCTATTTCATTATTTCCTTAATCGTAGTAAATGCTGGGTGTACTGCTGAGCATGAAATGAGAGCTCCATCACTGTTTACCCTTATCATCATTATCAATATTATTATTGTTACTATTATCATTAATATTGGACATGATGAGAAAAAGAGTGTCCCATGTAGGTTGTCTCCAGGCTCTTTTCAACTAATACTGGGTGATTTGGTGAGCAAGGGCAGGGGTCAGAGGAAGACACATGAAGAGTCCACATCCCTCTCCCACCTTTCACAAGGTCAGAGGTATGTATTGCACACATTATTTGATAATTTTTTAAAAAATAAGAATTCTTACATGTCAAAGCAGTTACTTCAAGAGAGAACACCAAAATATGCAGGTTTGGAGAAAGCTTTAACAATAAGCCAACAGGGGCAGCAGTATGACTTTCATGGACTCACACGCTTTCCCTCACTGGCCCCTTCCTCCATAAAAATAGTAGGACTGCATTAGTATAAAAATGAGTAAAATCCAGACTGGATATATTTTTTAATATATTCAGTATCATTTTCATATTGATCTTTTTCATTCTGATTCCAAATATGGTAAAACGTTTGTGTGGGCACCAGAAAGCACTCATGGCCCTGTGACTCCTGGACCTAATGGAGAAGTTCCCCCTGCCAAGCAATGTGAAGCATTGTGGCTCCTCTTTACCTTTCTGGAATGTGCGAATTCACCAGAATAGGGCTAATTTTTAAAGAGTTCTTTATTACTGGTGCCAAAAGCACATGTTGAATGTCTTGCTCCCATTGGAGGGCATGGGCGCCTCCAACTGGGGTACTTGTGCAATGCAGATGAGCAGGCACTCCACCTTTGGGGCAAGAGCTTACCTGTTTCCGGAAGCCAGCACTCTGGCTGTGTTCTTTGGATCCAGACGGGGTGTTGGTGTGTATGTTACGTACTGACCTTGGCAGGATTCACTTCTCTCCTAGAAATTACTGTTCAGTGAAGTGATGTGATTTTCTTGAGGGTTAGGTCACCATGTGGAAGAGCATGGTTAGCAGCAGGTGCTAAAAGGAACTACTTTGAAACTTGGTGTTAAAATGGGCACAAGGGGGCAGTGGAGAGTGGGGAGGTGGTGACCCCGAGTGTTAAATAATCAGAGCAGGAGCAGGAATGACTGTGATCTTTAGTGCGTGGGAGGTTGACATGGCAAGAGTTGAGAAATGCGGTGTGTGGGATTCAGAAGATCTAACTAACTCCTTGATAGGGTCAGAATCCCAGGCACTTAACACACAGACAAGTATGCTGACTTTGGCTGACTTTGGCTATTTGACTCTGATTTATTTCTGAATGCACAGGCTTGGATTCATTACAATCATTTCCTTGTAAACACCATCAATCCATGCTCCCTCATTTCCTCTGTTCTATTTGCCCAGTAAAACCCAAGCTGGGATAAGACCAGTTCTTGGTGTAGTACCTCATTTCTCTGCTTTACTTGGCAGCAAAATCCAAAAGTGACATCAAGGCACACTCAGTCCTCTTCCTCTCCTCTCATACTCTCTATGCTCCACTACGTCCATGCTTTTATTGTCATGCAATCTTGAACCTTCACTTTTAAAACCACTCTTATCAAGGTTACCCAGTGGCTGCCACTGTCTTATGGTCTTTCTCTGTCCTCAACTTATTTGGCTTATCAGCCTCATCTGCTGAATTCAATTGCACCCTCCTTCTAGAAACACCTCCTTCACTTGGATTCCATAACATCACACTTTCTTGGTTGTCCATTTACCTCCTTGGTTACTGCTACTTCTCAGTCTCCTTTGTGGGTGTCCTTTTCTCTTCAATTTCTAAATGTTCTCGAGCTCCAGGACACAAGTCTTGGACATCCCTTAGGTTACTTCTTCCACTACTGTCACCTTGGTCCTAGAGACCATCATCTCCCCCTTACATTAGTTCAGTAGTCTCCTAATTGCTCTCACTGCTTCTGTCTTTCCTCCCCTTCAGTCTGGTCTCAGGATAGCATTGAATGCCACCATTCAAATGAAAATGGAAGTCCTGTCATAGCACTCTTGTGTTAAAAACACTATAATAGCTTCTCATGTCACCTGGAATTCAATCCAAAGTCATTAACAGGCCCCCATCTCATCTGGCCCCTGTTATCTTCCTCATCTGATATCCTACCACTTTCTACCCCAACTACTTCAGTCTTGTCTCCTCACTATGTGTAATCTGTGCTAAGTACAATCCTGCCTCAGGGTTTCCCTTTGCACTTGCACTTGCACTTGATATCCCCTCTGCCTGGAATGCTCTCCCCTGAGCATCTGCATGGTTTCCTTTTCCTTCATGTACGTCTCCGAGTTTTACCTCTCCAGACAGGCTGCCTCCTCTGAATGATCTGTGTACAAAATAGAAGCTCCTACTCTGTCACTCTGTTTTTTTACTGCATTTGATTTTTCTCCTTAGCATTTGTCACCACCTGCTATGTTACATGTTTATACGTTTCTTTCATGACTGCCCTCTCCCCCTGCCTTAGACTCAATTCCATGGTAGCAGTGATTTGATCTGTTAAATGATGCTTTCCAGGTACCTAGCACAATGCCTGACACACACAGAAGGCAGTTAATAAATATTGCTTGCTTGAATGAAATTGTGTTTTGGATCAGAGAGTACTGATCTCACGGACAGGCTTACCATAAAAGGGGATGTGCTATGTTGTGCAGCTCTAAAAACAGGCCGATGGGGGCCAGGTGCCCTCCATCAACAGTGTGATCTGAAGGCATATATCTTCGCCTCTTTGTGACTTGGTTTCCTCACCTCTAAAATTGAATGCTATTTAACTAGAGGAGAGTTCTTGTGAGGAGTGAATGAGGCAATGCATGCCAAGTGTTACATAGCAAGTTCTATGTAGGGGTGGCTTACTTTTGTGGGAGTAGTGCCAAAGCTTGACACATGTTCTTGAATGGTTAGGAAGGATGTGACAGCCTGAATTCAAAACATTAGGATCACAGAACAGCAGGCCTTTCCCATAAGCCTGCAAGTGTTCTGAGAGTTCTGTTGTGCGGCTGCTGTGGTGTTTTCTGTGCCTTCTGATGCCAGCCTGTATCACTGTGGGAAGCCTCTGCCCACTGAGGAAGCTTGGCTATGGCCCTGTTTCTTGTCCAAAGCAACCCTTAAAGGCCACATAAAGAGGTGACTTTCTTTTCCACCCACCTTCTGGGTTGTTGCATTTCCCTGTGAGGTGTTGCCTCCCTCACAGAGTGTGCTGTGGCCCAGGCAACTATTTGTTTGCTATGAAGGAAAGACTGTGTTTCTTAAGACCCCTCTTAATGGCAGTTAGGAGTCAAGTTTCTCTTAAGCTTTGTGACTCTGGGGGAGGGTCCCATGAAAGAAGCCCGATCCCAGAGAGGTTCTCCTTAGAGGGATTGTATGACATACGCAAAGCTTGAAGAATGGTGAGAAATCTATAAAGTAGCCTTTGTGACTGACCGTTACTCAGCATGCTCTCAACTCCTGCAGCCTGCACCAGGCCATGCAGCCTCAACGAAGCCACAACAAGGAGACCAGGCCTTCATTTATGGGCTCCCATTACTGATTCACCCCCATTCTATGGGCGCTCTCTAAAGCCAAATGTGCAAAACCTAAGCATAGAGACCTGTGTGGCTAGGAAATGCCATCGAATTTCCTGACTTTCCAAATCAAAGTTAGTTTTTAAAAATCCTTATGTAGGCCGGCGCCGTGGCTCAATAGGCTAATCCTCCACCTTGCGGCGCCGGCACACCGGGTTCTAGTCCCGGTCGGGGCGCCGGATTCTGTCCCGGTTGCCCCTCTTCCAGGCCAGCTCTCTGCTATGGCCAGGGAGTGCAGTGGAGGATGGCCCAGGTGCTTGGGCCCTGCACCCCATGGGAGACCAGGAAAAGCACCTGGCTCCTGGCTCCTGCCATCGGATCAGCGCGGTGCGCCGGCTGCAGCGGCGGCCATTGGAGGGTGAACCAACGGCAAAGGAAGACCTTTCTCTCTGTCTCTCTCTCTCACTGTCCACTCTGCCTGTCAAAAATAAAAAAATAATAAAAAAAATTAAAAAAAAAATCCTTATGTATAATTTATCCTGCTGACTGTACTTCAGAAAACACACACACACACACACACACACACATATACAAGTTGAAGGTGTCTTTGAATTACCTCCCTTTATAAGGACATGAAGAATTTTGGAGTTGGTGACTAGACAGGCTGTGGCAATTGTGATTTCTGGGGTGGATGAAGGTGCATGGTCACGGTGCACATCCAAGCTTGAGTTCTTTATGTCCTACTCCAAGAGCAGTCCCAAGCCTGGCCACAGACCTGGTTATATGTTCCAGGGCTGCTCAGAGAAGGTGGGAGGATGTACACTTAAGCACCTAGAAGACTTTCATAGCTGCTCTCAAAGCTCCCACCTCCTTCTCTCTCCCATCCCTTCTGCCATTAGTGGGGGTGGGAAAGCAACGCTGGGTTGCATTTTTACTGTGAGTAGCTACATGAGATCCAGACATGTTAGTTGCTTTTCATCCTTGTAAATACTGACAAGTTTATGTCCTCCTTCCCAGTAAGGTAAAGGAGTCTGCACACAGGTTTATTGAGCCACACTGGGTGCCAAACAGCTCAAAATCCACTGTGATTTATGAAGTTTAAAAACAGGCAAAGTGACTGTATGGTGTTAGAAGACAGGCCTGTGTTTGCCTTTGGCTGGGTGATAGTGACTGGGAGGGGGCCCAATGGGGCCCTGTGGAGGTGGCACTTGTGTTTGGTTACTCTGTCTGGCTGTTCATTCCTCAGCTTATGAAAATTCCCCCAGCTGCAT